TTTGAGAGTCTCTGGCACATGAAGGGCGGTGGGATGTTTGAGATCGCCAAGGGAGAAAAATGATAAGTGAGGAGCGGAGAGGGCCCAGGTCCCAGCCCTGGTTAATTGCACTTCCCTCCTTTCCCCAAGTTAGATTTGATCTTAATTTTTCCTTCATATAAGTGTTCAGATGGAAGACAGGAGCCAGCAATGCAGATCCAGGAAGGCAGAAGGGAAGTGGGGAAAGTAGGGTGTGAAGTCACAGAAGCCACAGGAAGACAGTTTCTGAAAAGGAGGACGTGGCTGCTGAGAGAACTAGTAAGTGTACTTGTAACGTGACCTTTGATGAGCCCAACAGTAGCAGGATTCAGAGCGGGCAAGAGGCTGCTGCAGTGTTAGAGTAAACTGCAGGATAAAGGCAACGTGAGGACTGGAGACGGGACGTGCAGACAGTGCTTTGGAGGGCCTGGGCTGTCAGGGGACGGAGAGAAGTAGGGGCACCTCTGGCTCGAGGGAAAGTTTTCCAGTTTTAAGGTCGGCTTCTTTGTTTATAAGACTGGAGAGAGCAGCGCCTTTTGGGAGGCTGGTGGAGAGCAGGTTGAAGATACTTGCAGGAGTGAGAGGCAATTCTGACATGGTCAGGGCCCAGCAAGGTGAGAAGGAGAGGGATCCTGGATTCATGGTGCTGAGCCGGGCTTTTCGAGGCTGGAGCGATTGTAACAGGACACAGCTGGGAGACCATGGGCGGAGATGCAGACAGACGAGGGGCCTCAGTGGGGAGTGGGGGGCAGGCATTGCTTCCTGGTGGGCTTCTGGTGGGTTTCTTTAGGAAGGGAGAGGTGAGAGTCTTTGGAAGTGAAGAGCTGGGTGACTGTCAGGATGACAAGAGGTGTGAAGAAGGGATAAGATAATTATAGTGGGGGATGGGAGAGCAAACTCACTGCAGAGACAATGCAAAAAAAAAAGAAAAAAAAAACACCCCAAAACCTACCAAAACCAAACAAACAACAAAACTCAAGTCCTTTGCTTGTCAGTCACTCATGCAAAGACTTCCTTTCAGATGCCAAGATGAATAGGACATGATTCCTGTCTGCAAGTTGCTCACTGGGGACACAAACACCAATACTGCACATAATTTAAATGTGATTAATGCCCAAACAGAAGAATGAGGAGTGGACTACGGGAGAAGAGAGAGGCATGTATATAGAAAACAGGAAGGCCAGGTACAGGGAGGCGTTAGTGATGGTTATGGGAGGTTTCCTGGAGAAGCGGCTGAGTGAGATGAGATCAGAATAGTAAGAGTTGGTCACACAAAGCCTGGGAAGGCGAGAGGCTGGGACGCCCTGAGAAGCCCAAGCAGGTTGAACAAGCGTGGGGTCTAACGTGTGGGCTGGGCAGCGGTGAGCGAGGGGGCTGGGGGCTTGGGCAGAGAGCAGGTCGTGGAGCAGAGTACGTGCTAGGAGCTTTGGTTGCATCCCGAGTGTGCAGCGGGTCCCGGGCTCTACGCAGGGTGGCAGCTGGGTTTGCCTTCTCCGTGGGTCACGCTGGCTGTCGTGACAAGTGATCTGAGGCAGGAGGGAGTGAGACCGGAAGGGGAGATCAGCTGGCGAGATGTGACCACAGTCCCCTAAGAGGAGACATCTACCCCCTCCACTGTTCCACTGCTCCCTTGAGATTAAACGAATCAGGCGGGAACTTCCTGTCAGTCAGACCTGATTCATTTCCTAGTGCCCGGGTTGGGCAGAAGGCATGCCTTCGCCTCTGAGCTTCCCGGGCTTATCTGCCTGCAATGCAGGAGACGCAGTTTTGATTCCTGTGTCGGGAAGATCCTCTGGAGAAGGAAATGGCAACCTCACTCCAGTATTCTTGCCTGGAGAATCCCATGGACAGAGGAGCCTGGCGGGCTACGGTCCACGGGGTAGCAAGAGTTGGACACGACGTAGCGACGAAACCACCACCCCCCCCTGAGTTTTCCAGCAGAAGATAGAGCCTTACTCCCCAGTTACCCCTCTAATGTAGAGAAGTCCAACCAAATAGGAAATTTTTGTTGCTACTGCTGAGCAGACAGAATAATGGCAGATGACCCTCCACTATTCATTCTAGAACTTTCCTTCTTACACCCAAAGGCTTTGGCGATTTCTTCATATTAGTAGGTATAGATTTACCTACTTTTTTTTTTTTTTTAAAGCTGCTGCCTGAACAAATTCTTAATCAGTGTATCTCAAAATATGATTTGTCTGGATCTTCTGGACCTACCCAGGCATGCCTACCTGTAACTTGGACTCATTTATTTCCTAGATTTAGGCCAAGGCCAGGCAAATTCTAGTTTAAAAGGTCTAGCTACATAGTGAACTGCAGTTCATCAGACTGCATTTTTCTGAGTTTGTCTTCCAGATGCACATAGAAAAATTTGAGCCTGGGTAGTTGCAATCCTGGGGTATCATAGGATCAGATCATAAGTGAATTTAATTTTAGACAATGTAATTATTTTCATATTCAAAATAATTTTTTAAAATGTTAAACACCAACAGATAAGGGGAAAAGGAACCAACATCTCTTTTGCACTTGTTACATGCCAACAACTGGTTAAGGAGTGTTCCCATTTGTTATCTGGCTTCATTGAGAGGATCTGTTTTCAGAGTAGGAGTCTTCTCTGGCTTGACACCTGTTGCCTCATTGGGAGGGTGGCATTGGCTACAACGAATGTGTCCCTTTGGTCACTTTCCTGCGGGCTCTAGGAGTAATGATGAATTGTGCAATCAGGCAGGGAGGTGTCTGGGGGGACCAGGTAATAGTTTGGAGATTTTCAGTCACCACAGTTAAAGAATAGGAGTTGGGAATCCAGGTGTTTAAGGTAAAATATGCTGAGCAGTACATAGTCACCAGAAGCGACAGGAAGCTAGAAGTACAGATGGGAAATGCAGGTGACAATTCAGACCAGTGAACTGGGCCCACTGCACATATGTCCTGGGAGAGGCTAAATCAGCTAGGGCCCCATCTTCAGAGAAGGGAGGGCTCTGGGCCTGGTGCCTGGCTTGAAGTTACCAACACAGCAAGGTTCAAACACGTTGGAGCAAGCTTCCACGTGAATCACTTTCTTCCCACTCATGGGCTAAGTAAGGGCAGGCTTGTCATTTCTGTCTGGTTTGTGGTTTTCTGGGGTTTGTGGCAGAGTTGGGTTCCTTAGTCCCCTGGTCGCCCTTTCTTTAGCATGTCCACCTCGAATACTCCGCAGCTGACTTGTCAGAGCCACACCTTCCACACCTGCCAAAGCTTCCCCAGCTCTGGCTCACCATGCGGTTCCCTTAGAGCAGTGCCAAGGAGGAGTGTAGGGGGCGGATACCAGCTTCCTGGGAGAAACTCACCTGCTTTCCTGGGAGCTGGGCTTTTAATTCAGACTTGTCCTCAAAACCGAGGCTGGCTCTGGCAAAATTCTGACAGATGCATTCTCCAGGGGGTCCCCCACATTCTTCAAGCAACCCTGTTACCTCAAACCCACTCTGGTCCTCACCTGCAACCCTCAAGGGAGGGAAACAGCAGCTGAACAAATGTCTCTGGAGCACTGATCGCCTCTCTATGGGAAATACATTTGTTTGCTTGATTGTTTTCCCAGAGAGCTCTTGAGTCAGAAATAGCATGTCTTATTTCTGAAGACCTGGGGTTCTTGGAGTCAGACACATTTGCTTTGAATTTGATTGATCTTAGACAAGTTCTTTAAGCATAAATTTGCTCATCTGCATAGTGAGAAAGCACTGCACAGGAAAAGCTCATGTTTAACGCCCACCCTTTATTCCAGGACTAGCTTCTACTTTGGATCTCTACTCTCTTATCCACTCTGTTGAACCTTGTTGCAAACCCTAGAAGGAGTCTGACTTTTCATCTTTCCTCCTAAGCTCTAGAGTAGCCTGCTGTGTTAAGCAGGGATGAATTTGTTGACTTTTATCTGGTCCCTACTTTGACTTTCCAAAGTTAAAGTCACCCCCTAAAGTAGGTAGCTAAAACCCAAATAAGAGAGAAAGGAAAAATTTCCTAGACCTTGGAAGACTGCCAGCTGACAATTCAGTGGAACCATTTGCTATGTCCCAGGGTGGCAACACTTTTCTCATGAGGGCTATTACTACTAGATAGCAATATTGTCTAGCACAGATCAGAGCTATAGGCGAATACAGAGAGAGGCCACTCCCAAGTTCACTTTTTGATTTCTACGCCTAGGTCTGCCTAAGTCTAAAGAGAAATGAGAGAAAGGGCACCATTTACAGATTGCTAGCCAAAGAATATCCCACCTGCTTTAGGACAGTACCTCATTCTTGCAAGAATTTTCTCCCAGATGCTGTTCTAACTGTGTCTTCAATGGGCTAATCCACAATTCTGTAATGTTGGTTGCTTCTGGGGATGAGATATAGGATAAGACCAGTAAATCCTTACATCTACTCTAAATTAGTTCCTTGGTCAGAAGCAGTGTTGTATATAAGATGTGCTGATGGTGAATAGACATTCAGTAAGTTCAAGGATGATGGTGTTGGCAGAAGGACAGTGAACAGCTAAGCACGTGTTAGTCCAGAGTAAGCGTCAATTCTGGTGGCAGTTCCCCTTCTTGATGGTAGAGGGTCAATGTGCTAAACTGCCACTAGATGGAAGTCTTGACTACTGGGGACCTGGTACCATATTGGGGTCACAGGGTTGGGTGCTGCTGCTGGAAAACTGGTCACTGAGGATTTGAACCACTAAAGATAATTTATACTTGTGTTCCTTTAACTGCTAAAAAAAAAAAAAGACAAAAAAACTCAAAAAAAACCCCTTTTGGTGAAGATAAAAATCTCACTATCACCCCGTACTGATTTTTTTATATATTCATCCTAGCAGGCCATGCTTTTAGTTAAGAAAAATTACATTTTTTTTATTATTCTCTATCTTCACCATCCAGAACACTTTTGTGACACCTGGAGTTTCAAAAAAAGTTCAGTTTTAAGTAGAAAATAGTATATTAGTTAAAACATTTATTTATTTATCAATGGAAGCCTTTCCCCACTTTCTGTCTTCTCCTTCCCCTGCCAAATGCCCCCTCCTGGTTTTTTAATGCCAAGAAAGGGGAGCATCTGTCCTCCTACTGAATTTAGTTCTGTTGGTTTCAGCTACTGTTCAAGACCTTATCTATGGTTTTATTTTTTAAACTGGTGACCATGTATTCTTGGTGTCCAAAAGATTTCCAGTCCTTTGTTTGGGTTGTAATTGGTAATCTAGGAGCTTTGTAAAGATTCCTCAATGATTTGTAGGAACAATGAAACATACTGTCCTGATAAATCCAGTACATATAATCACCATGAGTATGATTTTACTTGTGTGACTTTAGATATGTCCTTTTGGCCTCTGGGCCTCTGTTGTCTTAACGGTGGTTTAAGACACATATGTGGGTCTATGCCAGTGGTTTCCAATTCTGATAGATGGAATAACTCCTTCAAGTGTTGTTAGTATTTTGAAATTCTCCTTGATATGGCTGAGCTTCAATGTTATCTTTGTTGTCCTGAAATAAAATTCATAGGTAAAATAAACCACCAATACATATAATCTTAAAACATTTATATAATATCCTAACTATGATAAAGATGATAAATAAAAAGAAGTAATTAACCACAAATAATGATATGCTTCTAATATGAAAATAACTGGTCACTGGCTATAATAAAAGTAGATAAATCAAATTTTTGCATCTATTTGGAGAATTACTATGAACATCACAACTACAAATGCAGACGGATTAGGTGTGTAGAAATGTGACTCAAACATTGTGAAAAGTATTGCTATGGATAATGTTATTTTGCAAAATGTTGAACATTTCATGATAAAGTTCTGAATTAATGTCCAAGTATACAATCTTCCTTTTATTTACATGGTCTTTGCATTCCTGACAACCAAGCAAAAATACTTTGTTTTTCTGTGTGTGTTAGTTACTCAGTTGTGTCTGACTCTTTGTGACCCCATGGACTGTAGCCAGCCAGGCTCCTCTGGCCATGGAATTCTCCAGGCAAGGATCCTAGAGTGGGTTGCCATTCCCTTTTCCAGAGGATTTTCTTGACCCAGGGATTGAACCCGGGTCTCCCGCATTGCAAGCAGATTCTTTACTGTCTGAGCTACCAGGGAAGCCCATATTAGAGTTTAGCTTTAGATAATTATAAACAAGGCTTTAACTACGTGAAATGAGTCTTCCTTCTTTATCTAATCTGACAATTTGCCATTTTGTTAGAGTTTTTAGGCTATTTTCATTGACTGTTATTATTGAATGGTTGGGCTTAAACCTACCATTTTGCTATTTATTATCTGCTATTCTTGTTTGTTGTTTGTTCCCTCTGTCCCCTTGGTCTTTATTTGAGCTAACTGACCATAATTTATAGTCCCATTTTGCCTCTTTTATCATCTTGTTAGCTATACTGCCTTTTTGAATTTTTTTTTTTAATGGCAGCTTTTAGGTTTATGGAACACATAAACCCTGTGAATGGCAGTCTGCCTTCAGGGAATATCATACAACTGCACACAGGACGCAACAACCCTATTACAGCATATTTTCATTTCTCCCTTGACCATACATTGTGTGTGTGCATGTATGTGTGTGTATATATACACACACACACATATGTATATATATAAAATAAAAGTATTTATTTATTTTGCTTAGATTCTTAGGTAGTGAGTTTGTTTTCTTCATCAAATTTTGAAAAATTTCAGCCATAATTTCTTCAAATATTCCCCCCTCCTTTAAGGACTTCAATTATGCATATGTTAAGCTGCTTACTGATGCTCTGATAATTTTCTTTTCAGTTTTTTCTCTGTACATTTTGTTTTGGACAGTTTCTATTGATGTCTCTTCAAGTTCACTAATCTTTTTTTCTTTTGAGTCTAAAATACTATTAATATTAATTTCATCTAGGGTATTTTTTCATCACAGGCATTGAATTTTTCATCTCTAAAATTTCAAGTTAGGTTTTCTTTATCAATATCTTCTATGTCTCCACATGGCATTCTTAATCTTTCCTCTATATTCTTGAGCCTATAGGATATAGTTTCATGTTTTAATATTTTTGTTTACTAATTTTATAGTTATATGTAATTTATGAACCAGTTTCCATTGATAGATAATATTGCATGTTTGATGGCCCATATTTACCCATCTCTTTGCATGCTTGGTAATTTTTTGTTTGATGCCATGTATTTGGAATTTTACCTTTATAGGGTACTGGAAGTTTTTGTATTATTATAAGAATACTTAAACTTTGTTCTAGGATGCAACTAAGTTATTTGGAAATAGTTTGTTCCTTTTGAGACTTTGCTTTTAACTTTTGTTAGGGCTAGAAAAACTTTTGTCTAGGGCTAATTTTAGCACACTACTGAGACAATACAAGTTCTGGGTACTGTGTACTCTGCTGAAATGTCCAATGAATTACAAAGACTTTCACTCTGACTGGTGGGAATAAGTGCTATTTCTGGACTTGTGTGAGCTCTGAGAATTGTTCCCTCTGCCTCTTTTCCCAGCAGTAGGTAACTTCCTCATATACATGCACTGAACTATTAATATATGTTCAACTTAAGACTTCACAGAGACCCTCTACTGACCTTTTGAGTTCTCTGTCTGTTTACTTTTATCTTATCAAGTCCTTTCCTCTGTGAAGTCTAGTGTCTCAAACTCCAGCTCCCTCTCTTCAATTCAAGGAGATCACCAGACTCCAGCAGAGTTCTTCCTTTTTACATAGCAGCCTAGAAATTCCCTCCAATGACCTGGGGGCGATCACGGGGTTTATGTTATTTGTTTCCACTCTCTCCTGGATCACTGTCCTTTGTTGCCTGATGCCCAATGTGTGAAAACTATTATCTCATATATTTTATTCTTTTAAAAAGTTGTTTCAGGTGGGTAAGTTAAATCCAGGCCCTTTCCCTTCATCTTGGTTGGAAGCAGAAGTCTCTTGTGCCTTCTTTCTCTTTGGAAGTTTGGGGCAACTTTGTTGTCTTTTTCCATTGCCCATGTAAATTATATGTTTATAATGTATAATGTATCTATGCCTTGAAAATATGGTAAACATTTGTTAAATCATCCTGGCATGGCTCTTTTAAGTTTTGCTTGTTTTATTTTGTTCTTTCCTGCTTTTTGTATTGTGGGAAAGAAGAAGTAATTTTATTTATCACTCTATTTTTAAATTGTAGTTCTTTTCAAATAGTCTATTTCTTTTTGTGCCGATTGTGCAGTTCACATTTGTCTAAAATTCAGTCTTTGCATCTAGGTTTTCAAAAAGATGGGAATGTAGTTTTCCACATATGCTTTTGTGGCCTTTATTACTTCTGTGTCAGCAATGTATCCCCATTTTCCCTGTAATTTGTTCATTTTTATCTTTTACTAGTCCTCCCAGAAAATTATCTGTGTTATTGGACTTTCACAGGAAAAAAATTTTTTTTTAAATCAGTATTATTATTTTTTGGTCTCCTTTCAATTTTCCCTCCTGTTTTTCTTGTCTTAGATTGATTTCATTATTCTTCATCAAATATTGCCTTCATTGTTATTCACTTACAGTATTTCACAATTCCTTTACAATACCTATTTAATCTAATGGTTGATCTGAAAATAACTATTTTAATTTCCATACGTATGAATAATCCAACAATGTTTTTATTAGTTGTCTGTAATTTTTTCATCATTTTATTGTGTCTATAATTTTTAAGACTCTGAGACAGAGTCTGTCTTATAATGATCATTTGGAATTAATTTATATTTCTTCTATCACTTAATACATATTTAAAAAATATTTCATAGCTACTCTAGAAGGATCATAAGCTGTACTTTTGTGAAGTGACTGTTCAAATATCTATTCATGTTTGATTTTTGTCTGCCTGATCTATAATTTTTGGGCATAAATGTGTTAAAATCTTCAACTATAATGTACTATAGACTTAGCTACTTTCTTCTGTAATTCTATCCAATGTTGCATTGATGTGTTATACAATTATAATAGAAAAAGAAGAAAAATATATTATTAATACATATCCATTTATGATTGCATACCTTCTTATAATATTTTTCCTTCTACCATTTGAAAACTTTGAGTTATTTTAGAATTTTTACTTCAGTATTGTCACTCAAGTGTTTTAGGTTTTTGCTTGTTTCATATTTGTCTTGTGTATCTTTTAAAAAATCTTTTCATTTTCAACTTCTCTGCTGTCTCCCCCATCCACCTTCTATAGGCAACAATGATGTATCTTTTTGAAAGGTAAAAATAATCTGATAATCTTCTTATTTTAGTCATTGAGTTTAATTATTCTGCTTATTATAGTTATTATGTATTAAGACTTATTTATGATGTCTATGAGCATGAGAGTGCATTTTTTATTTTCTATGCTTATTATTTTTCTTTTCCCATGCTGACCTTTCTATTTTACTATCACTGATTTGAAAGGACAAGAATTTTTGTTTGTTTTCTTTTCTTTTTTCTACTGGTGAGAAGCATACATTCTATTTTTATATTTTCTGCTAGTTTTTCATACTCACTAAGAGCCGTTCCGATACTCATATTTCCCTCATCAATGTCTTAGGTTTATCACTTACAATGTCTTCACCTCAGACAGAATAAGAACTTTACAATACTTTCAGCTCTTTTGGGATCTTCTCCTGCTCCAGATCTCTTGTAGGTATTATTTAAGATTTTATTTCTAGGTAATGAGTCAGTATATATTTTTGTAGTTATTTATTTAGAGATTTCTTTTAATATATTTATTTACACATCCCATTGTTTCCCTTTGGGTTAATTTTTATTTTTGCTAGAATACTTTTAAGTCCTGTATTGACTACAAATATCTTTATTTTATCCCGTGAAAATAAAAGCTGTTCTTTATTTTCTACTAAAAGTAATCTGTTGAGAAGATAGATGTTTATTTGATTCCTATTTTGCTTTTTCCTCATCTGTAAACTTTTCAACTTTTGATGCCAATTCTGTGGTTTTGTTTATTTATTTATATTTATTAAAAATATTAAATATTATCATATATCTTTGCTAAGCATTCTATGATCCCTTTCAATCTATAATTATTTTTAATTACTAGGGAGTTTCTCAGTTATTATTAATTGGTCTTCAATTATTGCCTCTCCTTTTTCTTGTCCTTTTGAGATTTTTATTAAGTTGCTATTGGCATTTCTTTTTCTGACCTTGTATCTCTTACCATTATTAGTATACCTTTTACCTCTATTTGTTCCAATTTGTTTGTTTGACTCTTGGCTTATAAATTTACTCTGGCTTTGCTAAGTCTGTCTTTCATTATGTACATCAAGTTGTTTACTTTGGCAAATACATTTCATGGACACTGTATTAGTTTTCTATTATTGCTATAGCAGTTTAGCACAATCTTAATGACAGAAGTTTGTTATCTTGCAATTCTGTAGGTCAGAAGTCTGACTCGGGTCTCACTGGGTTAGAACCAAGGTGTGGCAGAGCTGTGTGGAAACCCTTGGGGGAGAACTGTCCCCAGGCTCAATCGAGTTTTTGGCAGAATTCAGGTTCACGTGGTCGCTGGACTGAGGTCCCTGTTTCCTTGCTAGTTGTCATCTCTGTAGAGTTCTAGCAGCTGCTCACGTGCCTTGGTTCATGAGTTCCTTTGTCTATAAAGCTAGAGATGGGTAGTCCTTGTCATGCCTCATCTCTCTCTCTCACAGACATTTTAAAGGCTGATTTTTAAGGGTTCTTATGATTAAATTGGACCCACTTGTATAACCTCGGATAGCCTTCCAAACTTAAAATCTGTAATCTTAATTATACCTACAAAATCCCTTTTGCCAGACTACATAGCATAGTCAGGGACCGCATCTGACAGAAACCAGACAGAAAAGCAGTTGATTCTGGACTTGGGAACCCAGAGTTGAGGGTGCTGCTGAGGTTTTAGGGAGCTCTTCACCTTACTTGATACATGGGCCTTTCACAAGGTCCTATTTCCTCTAATAACTTTTGAAGGCTTGCTGGCAGATGGGGAGTGCTCTGGGGTCTGTGCCCAGACCCAGTTCTTCTGGTATTGCTGCTCTTTCATTCAGGATATAATAAATCACTAGAATCAATACCTTGCCTTTACATTCAGAGCTCTTCAAATACGTAAGGAGAGCCTCTGCTAGGTCTCTCAGTTGTGTCCGACTCTGCGACCCCACGGACTGCAGCCCACCAGGTTTCTCTGTCCATGGGGACTCTCCAGGCAAGAATACTGGAGTGGGTTGCCATGCCCTTCTCCAGAGGATCTTCCCTAGCTAGGGATCGAACCCAGGTCTTCCCCCAGTGCAGGCGGATTCTCTACTGTCTGAACCACCAGGGAAGTGTGCCTACCTTGTGCAATACTGAATCCTCGTTGTAATAATAGTGCACATATTTCATTGCATTTCAAATTAAGTTACATGCTGTTCCTCATAAGACAGGCCAGCAGTTTTCTCTAGATTTCCTTCCTCGCATAATTGTTTATTCAGTCAGTGAATCTTATCTCTTCCACCCCATCATTCCATCCTATCCCATTATCCCATTGCATCCCATCCCATATTACAAACATGTTTTGGGTACCTCTTACATGCCAGGCACTGTATGGGCTGTTGAGACTACAAGGGGACACTCCTATGTCTGGTCCTTTTTGGTGTCTTTGTATTGAGACATAAAGTTGCTAAGAGCAGAGACAGGACTGGTTTGAGGGATAGCGGAAGGGACCCTGGGCCATTCCCCTGTTCTCAGCCCCAGTTAAGCTCATCACCCAGGCCCAGACATTCCTTGCTTGGTCTTTGGTGCGCCTGACTGTCCACTCCTCTCTGCTCCCTCGGCTCTGTTCTCCGTTTACCCTGCAGGTGCTAGCGAAACCTTTCCAAGGCAGCATTAATGTCACAGCTTCCTGCTGGCTTCTTTCTTTGCTGATGTCCTGCTGCATACAAAAGGCCATTTCAAGTCTTTCCCCCCAAGTTCTTCTCTCCGAAGAAATGAATAAATGCAAAATTCCATGGCCTGAGGATAGAGCTCAATAGATGAATTTTTGCAAAATTGCAAAACCAATTATTTAAAAAATGAATCTTTGTGCTTTGTCTTTAAAAGACACTTGGCTTTGGCATTGCATAACATACTTCTTTTTTTTTCCATAACGTACTTCTGAATGCTTTAATGTAAATCATCTTAAAATAATTTTTAGTGAAAATTTTAATTTCTGTACACATCCCACCATGACTCTAAAAAATTTGACCAATTAGAAATATGCGTCTACTTTGTTTTGTGGCTTCTCATATTCTCTGCTCCTCCTCCCTGCTGTCCCCCGCAGTGTGTTATTTCCAGGGACCTGGGAACTCTGAGAACTGAACTTAATGAATTAAAACCAAAATTCTTAGCTTAGCTGTCAGGGCCTCCAGAAAGCTGCCCTCCTGACTATTCAACTGTTTTCTCCAGATCCACCTTCTTCTTAGAGATGCATATTCACGGTGGTCAAGTCACATGCCCTGTGAGGGCAGTTTCCTGACCTTGAACAGTGTGGTTTGTTGCCTTCAAAGGCTCATCAGTTTGGAAAATAAAGCTGTTTCCCACAGTTTAATCCCATTACAGATGTAGCTTCGAGCACCAGTGCTGTTTCTGCCTTTCTTTTCCCTCTCTCCACCCTTTCCCTTCCTTTTTCTTCCTTCCTTTCCCAGCTTCCTCTTTTCTGCTCTGTCTTTTCTTCCTCTCTCCTTCTTCCTTCCCCTCCTCCTCTTTACCAAAAAATCAGGTATCAATATTTATTTCTTGATCAGTTACGAAACTTTTCCTACCGCTGTTTCTTCCCACGCTCTATTTGGATTCAAGTATAGGGTGGCCACGCTTCCCGGGTTCCTAGGTACACCTGTTACCCTTGCATAGTTATGACATCTACTCCTTTCACTCTCAAAAATGTCAGGGTTTGGAAGATGAGTTAAATTACAACCCTACTGTCATAGGAACTTGTTATTTCTACAAAATATGTTGCTGGAGTTGGGAACATGGATGAATTCAGTTGGATGTGCAGGACACTTTATGGGTGGTGACCCCTCACCCTCTCCATGGGTCAGCACTCCATTCCAGAGTTATAGAGAATGGATGAATTAGTTCAAAATGATCCTGTCTCCATATGCCCTACTGCTGAGGTTTTAAAATTGTGGGTATAGATACATGTGATCCCAATGCTAATAATTTAAAATATAGTAACACTGTGGTTAATATTATGGATGGGTTAATAAAACCTTTCCTGTGTGACAGACTGTGCATAGTCCTTACATGTTTTTCATTTCTCGATGGTCAGGAGTGGGGATTTGTGAACATGAACAATAATCTAACAAACCACCACAATTTAAAATAATTTGTAGCTTTTTAAACAGTTTTCCTCCTGTTGTCTCCCTCTCATGATAACCTTGAGGTAGAAACCACAGGTGTTATTGTTACTTGTTCTGTGGATGAAGAAACTGAGGCCTGAAGAGTTTTGTTGAGTTGCTTCTGGTCATATGGTAAGTTGGAAGCAAATAGGGCTTCTAACACTGCGTTTCTTTTTAACAAGCTAGGCTAAACTGAGATAAAAGGTAAACTCCCTGATTTTAGTAGCTGGAAAAAACAGACTTCTCACATAAAATCTGCTGTGAAGTAGACGCTTCCTTCTATCTCATATCAGAGTCACTTGGAACATTAGAATTCCAAGGTCACTGAAGCAGGAAGATAGAACAATGGAAGGGGTCCCTGGCACTTAATGCCTTAGCATGGCAGGATTCCAGTTATCGCTCGCTGCCCTTGGCTTTAGCTAGGAGAAGTCACATGACCCTGACTCAGGTATAAAGACTGGAGGATATGGTAACCCCCAATTGTTTCTGGCACAGCCACATACATATTGATCTTCTGGGAAATCTTTAATAAGTACACATATCAAGCAAAACACTATATTTTCTGAAACATGCTTTAACATTCTATAAAGAAAAAGTGGGGAGGACTGAAAGATGAAAGAATATTGGCAAAGTGTTGTGAACTGTTGAAGATGAGGGGTGAATACATGAATGCATGAGAAATTACAATATTATTCTACTTTTGGGTATCTCTGAAAATTTTCATTATATATATGTATATATATATTTTTTAATAAAAGAAGAAACTTGATCTAGGGGGCCCTTAATCTGTGTATCTGAGGTGAGACGTGACATGAAATATTTAGAGAAATTTTTCAGGTTACCTTAACCCAGGTAACCTGTGTTCAATCCCTGAGTGGAGAAGACCCCCTGGAGAAAGGAATGGCTACTCACTCCGGTATTCTTGACTAGAGAATTCCATGAACAGAGGAGCCTGGAGGACTCCAGTCCATGGGGTCATAAAGAGTCAACCACAACTGAGTGACCAACACTTTCATTATCATATGGGCTTTCCTGGTGTCTCAGCAGTAAAGAATCTGCCTGCAATGCAGGAGACCCAGGTGGGATCCCTAGGTCAGGAAGATTCTCTGGAGAAGGAAATGGCAACCCATTCTAGTGTTCTTGAATGGGAAATCCCATTCAAGAGGAGCCTGGCAGGTTACTAGTCCACAGGTCGCAAAGAGTCAGAAATGACTTAGCCACTAAACCACCACTATATATGCATACATATATATATATATATGTATGCATATATACACATTTATGTATAAATATGGATTTATAACTTATGGAATTGCCTGGTGGCTCAGATGGTAAAGAGTCTGGCTGTAATACCGGAAACCCGGGTTCGGTCTCTGTGTTGGGAAGATCCCCTGGAGAAGCAAAAGGAAACCCACTCCAATATTCTTGCCTGGAAAATCCCATGGATGGAGGAGACTGGCAGGCTACAGTCCATGGGGTTGCAAAAAGTCGGACATGACTGAGAGACTTCACTTTCTTTCACTTTCATACATATTTCTAGCTTTTGGAAGTTTAGTTCATGAAAATGATTGACTTTCATTATTTGCTTTCTGATTACCTGTTGAATTTTCCTTAACTTTGAGTCTTTTTGAATCTGGTACTTCTTGATGTTACAAGCTAAATGTTCCTTTCCTGTGAAGAAATGAAAAAAAGTAAATAAAACTCTGCTGGGGCCAGAATATTAAGCCCCTCCACTTCTGCATTTTGGAAATCTGATGGTGTGGTTGATTTCAAAGGGCCACTGTTCCTTTGTGGTTTCTGCCGTAGAGAATGGGCTGTATTTTCCTACCCTTGGATTTGGACGGGCCTTGTGGCTACCTTGACCAATAGAATGCAGCAGGAAGGATTTGTAGGAGCTGTCAGCCTAGGCACAGGCTTCTGGTCTCACCCTCTAGTGGTCTCACCCTCTAGTTGCCCTGTGAGGAGGCCTACGCTCGCTTGCTGGAGCTGTGTGACCCAGTCCACAGTCACACTGACCATAGGACATGTGAGTGACAGCTGCACTTAAGCTTCTAGACACTTGCAGGTACGAGGGAGACCCTAAGTGAGATCAGCACAAGAGCCATCCTCTGAGTCCAGCTCAAACTGTTGACCCTCAGATTCATAAGCAAATCACATAGCTGTTATTTTAAGCCACTGAGTTTTGGAATAGTTTGTTATGCAGCAGAAGACAAGAGATCAGATAAAACAGTGTTCCACCCACAGGCCCCCAAAGCAATGGTTAAGATTTCAAAATGCACTTTCTATTTTTGGGAAGCTTTTTTCTTTTTTTTCCCCTATTTCTTGAAAATCTCTAGGCAGCACAACTTAGAGATGATAAGAACTGAGTCTCAGAAGTCTCTGAGCTAAAAAAAAAAATTATCAAACTGTATTTCTCTCGGAGGGAATTGGTGTCCTTTATTCACTCAGCTTTAGTTTTATCTACTTTTATGACATCTGAATTGCACAAGGATGTGATTTAATTTTGGGCTTGGAACAGAATTTGCATTGGCACTGGGGGACTTTTCCTGAGAGATAAATTTCAAGGAAACACATATTGTAATTCAAGGGAAAGTGTGAGTTTCAAACCAGTATGATTTTGAAAGCAACAGAGTTGAGGGGCTGAAGACTAACTTAGTCCCCAGGTCCAGTGGATGATATTTACCTCTTCTGGGATTAACCCAAGAGCTTCATGAAGCAGGAGATGTTCGCTACGGAGGTGATGAAAGTAAGACTGAATAAAAAAAACAAAACAAAAACTCTTTCACTTGTGCTAGTTTCGGTCACAGTTGGGAGAGGTATAATGTTTTTCAAAATTACACCAAGGACCTAGATTTTAAAGAAGCAAACCCTCCCTTTCTTATCAATCTTCAGTGGATCAGACAGAGAGAACCATTGTTTCCCAACCACTCTGTTCTGAGTCTCCTTGCATTTAGAGAAGTTTGAGAAAGAAACTTGGGTACCAGATAAAGCTCCGTATATGTCCTGAAGCAAAGTAAGGCTGAATTCATGAATTCCTGAACTCCACCAGTGAGTCTGAACCACATGAATTCCTGAACTACACCAGTGAGTCTGAGCATCTTTGGGAATGATTTGCTAAACTGCTGTTTTTCAGGTTAAGGTACCTTTGCTACAGATTGAATCTTGCCTATGAGAGTCAGTCTAGAAAAGAATTATGAATTGAAATGTTATCACTTTGGAGAGTGCCTTTCCTCTTCAGAATACTCACTGTATCTATCAGAGTTTACAATCTGGAATCTTTGACCCTTGGTAATCATTTTCAAAATATATTGTAGCCAAGAATAACTGTTTTTTCCTGCCCCCAAGAGGCTATATTAGATTTATTTTTAAGTGATGTGAATAGTTCACATCTTTTCCACTAAAAAAAAACTCATGAATGGGAAGAAAGATATTTACCAGGAGAGAAGGCCGAGCACTGTATGAGGGGTTGAATGGATAAAACAGGCGATTTATTCAAGCCTGGAAGGCTACTGACAAAGAAAGTGCTTGAAAGAGCAGAGGAATCCAACAAGAGGAGTTTGATGAGCTGCTTCTCTGTGCACGGCCTTGAACCTGGGGCTGTTATGACTCCAAAAATAATGAGACACAGCTTGTCTATCCTCAGGAACTTACAGCCTATGAAGGCATGAAAGACATAATGCAGCTGAAAAGTTAAGAGCAACATAACAGGGAAATACCAACAGAGCAGACTGACACATCACAGCAGAGCCAGGTAAACATGAAACGACTATCGTGTGTGTTATAAGAACTCAGATGCAGCAGAGATTGCGAAGCCTGGGCCTGGGGGAAAGTCATACATTTTATGCTGCTGGGGTGAATTAGGATCCTGAAGAATGAACAGGATTTGAAAAAGTTGAAAGGGATAGGGGAGGTAATTCAGTCTGCAAAAGAATAGAGAAATTGGTATATGGGATGATAAAGGAAAGAGGCAAGACGATGTATGACATGAAGTGTATTTGGTGGACAGTGAGTAGAAGAGTTTAGCGAAAACAGACTGAAGGTGTATGCTGATGGATTTTGGGAGTGATGAACTGTATTTGAACCTGATTGTGGCTCACCTCTTTAGTGGTCAAGGAGTTCCATCTACATTTTCTTGGTAATTGTGATCTTATCTAAATCTTTCGATTGTTTCAAACATTTGTTAAGGCACACAAAAGACTAAAGATTTTGTGGGGCCTTGATGAATGAACAGATAACTTTCTGAAGGGTTATAAGCTGAAATAAGATACATTACTCTTTCCATATTTGGATTAAAAAAGTGATCAGAAACCCAGCCAATCTTAATTAAGATCAGGTTGAGAACCTCTCTACACCAAAATATGAACTTGGTTCTATCATCTAAATTAGGTTTCTCACATAAAACTGGGAAAAAAGATATTGAACAGTAAGCTTCACCACTTTCCTCCACCCAAAACCACACATGTGCACTCAAAGATGATATTCAAAATATCCAACATTCAGAAAGTAATAGAAAACATATGTTACAAATGATACATGTAGGGATACATGTGTCATTGTATTGCTTATTGAGTGATATAAAATGAGGTGCAAATTGCTCATAAAATCATTTTAATGATTTCCAAATAATCTGTTGATGAACAGAGATGGTGATTGCAATATTTGACATGACTGTCATCCAAAAAATAATGACCTGGTCTCAACTGTGGTTTGATGAAGGAAATTACATCAAACTGCATCAAACTGTTCCAAAGTGATTTTAGTGAATTGTGAGCCTTTAGGTCCTTGGGGACTAGACACTTTCTAGTCTACAGAGGAGACAGGATGCACAGTCTGCTTTGTGGCCTGGCATCTGCTTGGGCACAAGGGCTTTTCATGAAGCTGGGACTGGCCTGAAGATCCTGTGTTGCCTCCCTCCTCCCCCACTGCCCTCCAAAGGTGGCCCTCAGAGCTGGAAGCAGAGATGTGGACACCCCTTGCTTCCTTTTGTGTGCCAGGCAGCATCAGCTTCATTACCATGAGGGTTGTGGTTAATGATGTTATACAAGAAGTGACCAAAGCAGGACTTAGATTTTCTGAGCAATGAAGGCTCCCACTTCTGCCCTGATTTCAATAGGAAGGATGTGTGTCTGTAAGTGTGTTTAAAATACAAACAAACAAACAAACAAAAAACAGAAAAACTCCTCAAGTTGTAGTAAGAGAGAACTCAGGCATAGGCAGACCTCTATTTCAAGTCAGATGTTGGCAAAAACATGCCCAAAGGTGAATGCAGATAATTCTAACAGCAGTATAGAGAGCATGTGTGTGTGTGTGTGTGTGTGTGTGTGTGTGTGTGAGTAGCTCAGTCGTGTTTGTCTCTCTGGAACCCCATGGACTGTAGCCCACCAAGCTCTTCTGTCCATGGAATTCTCCAGACAAGAATACTGGAGTAGGTTGCCATTCCCTTCTCTGGGTTATCTTCCTGACCCAGGGATCAAACCCAGATCTCCCACATTGCAGGCACATTCTTAACCCACTAAGCCACCAGGGAAGCACCCTAGAGAGCATCTGTGTCACTGAAGAGAATGCAGACTAGATAAGCTTTAGCCTCTTTCAGAGGCACTCATTTTTTCAATTAGGAGACTATGTTCAAAACTCAGTTACCTATAAGCATGTATAGAAAATGGAATTTTGTTTTCTGTATAGAATAGCTTGAACTATCATCTTTATAAAATCTTGAGGAAATAACCCTCTTTGGATATTGTTTAATATAAATACCTGAACTAGGTAGACCATTCCTGCTATAAATGTCAAGATCAAGTTAAACAGGTAAGTAGCTCCCGTTTCAACATTCTATAACCATGAAGTCTACTACGGTCTGGACATACTAAATATGTTAATGTCCGGATATGATCACAAAGGATTATCTTGGTTCAAGATTGAGAAGTTCAATCCTTAAAGTTCACTGGGTTCCACTCCAGAGATGCTGATTCAGCAGGGAAGGGCTCTGGAATCTTCTCTTTTCACAAATGCCTAAGGTGCTTGGCTGCCCATGTGACCCTGTGTTACTGAACCTTAAGAAACACTGAGCTAAAGCTTTTGGTTTCAGGAGATTGTAATTGCAGATTTTTTGAAGGAAGGAGAGAATGATTAAAGATGTAGGATAGAGGGAATATAAAGATGATATTCTTGTTATCTACATCAAGAAGTGAAACCATCAGTGAGCAGCTTCTATCTTCCCAAGAACTGCCCTAACAGCCAGTTTTCTAGAAGCTGTACAAAACAGGAAGGTTTTGCTGTTAATTTCTCATGAAGTTATAATCAGATTATGACAAAGACAGAAGGCAGGGAGAGGGGGAGGGGCGGGTGTCATCCTGCTAGTCTCTTACTTCCAAATCTATTATCATCTTTGAATGAAATGAACACACTGCCAGTTCTGATTCTAGATCATTAACCATGAATTTAAATTTAATAAAATCCCTGACTAATCCAGACAATTGGTGGCCAACTAGAAACTTTCTCATCAAAATCTTACATAGTATTTACTTTTATAAGATGCTGATGGTGTCCAAGTAAATTATCATGCTAGAGAATACTACACATGAGTCAGAAGAAATGAGCTCGATTTACATGTAGCAACATGGGTAGATCTCAAGAACAAAAGACTGAATTGAAAAAGTAATACACAGAGGTTGATAGTAAAATACCACTTATGTATATAATATGCACACACAAAAACAATGCTATCTATTTTTCTAGCCTGAGTACACATCTAAAAAAAAGTTGGAATGGGAATATATGTGTTAAATAGACTAAAATGAGGGCCTGTGTTGGGAAAATTAAAACTGGAGATAGACAATAAAAAAGCAAAACAATTCACACTATACCAAACCAAATAAAACTGGGACATTGCCACAGATAAACAATAATTGTGGATCTTGAGTTGAACAGTATGATAAGGACTCAATTTGGGACCTCTGAGGGACAAAAGGAAAAATGTTGATGACTTGGTCTCTGTACTTATGGAATTGCACTATAGCTGGAGTTACATACATGGAATAAATATGATATTATAATAGAACCACAGTGGCTCAGTGGTGAAGAATCTGCCTGCGATGCAGGAGACACAGGAGACATGGATTCAATCCCTGGGTCAGGAAGATTCTCTGGAGAAGGAAATGGCCACCGACTCCAGTATTCTTGCCTGGAGAATTCCAAGGGCAGAGGAACCTGGTGGGCTACAGTCCGTGGGGGTGACAAAAGAGTCAGACACGACTTAATGACTAAACAACACCTATAGAGCCTGTCCTGGCACAGCCATTAGCAGGCAGCCATTGCTTCACAGTCAAAAAGCAACAGTTAGAACCAGACATGGAACAACAGATTGGTTCCAAACTGGGAAAAGAGTATGTCAAAGTTGTATATTGTCACCATGATTATTTAACTTATATGCAGAGTAAATCATGTGAAATGCTGGGCTGGATGAAGCACAAGCTGGAATCAAGATTGTTGGGAGAAATATCAATAACCTCAGATATATAGATGACACCAGCCTTATGGCAGAAAGTGAAGAAGAACTAAAGAGCCTCTTGATGAAAGTGAAAGAGGAGAGTGACTAAATTGGCTTAAAACTCAACATTCAGAAAACGAAGATCATGGCATCTGGTCCCATCACTCCACGGCAAATACCTGGGGAAACAATAGAAACAGTGAGAGACTTTATATTTTTGGGCTCCAAAATCACTGCAGATGGTGACTGCAGCCATGAAATTAAAAGACGCTTGTTCCTTGGAAGAAAAGCTATGATCAGCCTACCAGAGACATTACTTTGCCAGCAAAGGTCCGTCTAGTCAAAACTATGGTATTTCCAGTTGTCATGTATGAATGTGAGAATTGGACTATAAAGAAAGCTGAGCCCTGAAGAATTGATGCTTTTGAACTGTGGTGTTGGAGAAGACTCTTGAGAGTCCCTTGGACTGCAGGGAGATCCAATCAGTCCATCCTGAAGGAAATCAGTCCTGAATGTTCATTAGAATGACTGACGCTGAAGGTGAAACTCCAATACTTTGGCCACCTGATGCGAAGAACATCGGAAAAGACCCTGATTCTGGGAAAAACTGAAGGCAGGAGGAGAAGCGGATGATAGAAGATGAAGTGGTTGGATGGCATCTCTGACTCAATGGACATGAGTTTGAGCAAGCTCCGGGAGCTGGTGATGGACAGGCAAGCCTGGCGTGCTGCAGTCCGTGGGGTCGCTAAGAGCTGAACAGGACAGAACGACTGAACTGACTGACTGCTTCACGGTAACCCCCTCCCCCCGCAACCACTCTGTTAGTAGGCAGCAGTTGCCATGGGACCATTTGTGATTCTGCCCAGCCATTGGTCGGCACTGTAGGGGCTCCTCCCCCAAGCTAGCAACTGTCACTGAACGACCGTTAACGGACTTGCTCAGCCATTGGTCAGTGATGCAGGTGGTCCCTCCCTCAAGTGAGCAACGGTCTGTGAGCTACAATTAGTGGGACTTTTCACCCAAGGTTGGTAGAGTGGTGGTCGTCAAGAGGAGAGTGAGGTAAGAGGTGGATCCCGGGCTTCTCCCCTCCGGCTCACTTGGCCTCAGACCAGCATAAACAGGCTGAGGGCTGTGTCCTGCGGCTCCAGAGCCCTCGCTAAGGCCACCCACTGGCTTGGCCCCGGCCTCGAGGTGGTGGTGAACCTCTCCCTTATCCCTGCCTTTGCAACATAATGGCGGCGGCCGTCTGCATGGGACCGTGGTCTGAGAGACCTGGTTCCTACCATTTGGGCGGCCTGAGGAGACTGAGGGCCGGCTGGTCCTGGGCACCTGGCTGTCTCGGCGATGAAGCTGGGCAGGGTCTGGCGACCGGACCCTGAGGGAGCCGCCACCTGAGACCTGCTTCCTCTCAGCCAGGGCTGGACCTCAGGGTGAACGTTGTCCCTGGGGACCTTGCCCTTTCTTGTCAGAGCAGAGAAGAACGTTCCTTTGGTAGAGATTTATGGGAACTTTGTTACCTGACGGTGACCTGACTTCAAGAACCAAGGCTCTAACACCAAGACGTTTGCAACAACTCTCCGTACCCCTCCCTCATCTTTCTTAGAAAAGGGCTTTTCTGAGAACTTTTGGAGAGGTTGGGGTTTTTAAAGCATGAGCCACTCATCTCCTTGCGTTGTTGTTGCTCAGTCGCTAAGTCGTGTCCGATTCTTTGCGACCCCATGGACTGCAGCACGCCAGGTTTCTGTCCCCCACTGTCTCCCAGAGTTTGCTCAAATTCATGTCCACTGAGTCAGTGAAGCTATCTAACCGTCTCATCCTCTGTCACGCCTTTCTCCTCTTGCCCTCAATCTTTCCCAGGATCAGGGTCTTTTCCAGTGAGTTGACTCTTCAGATCAGGTGGCTAAAGTATTGGAGCATCAGCTTCAGCATTAGTCCTTCCAATGAATATTCAGGATTGATTTCCTTTAGGATTGACTGGCTTGCAGTCCAAGGGACTCTCAAGAGTCTTCTCCAGCACCACAGTTTGAAAACATCAATTCTTGGGTGCTCAGCCGACATAAAGAAGGTCCAACTCTCACATCCATATGTGACGACTGGAAAAACCATAGCTTTGACTATATAGACCTGTGTCTGCAAAGTGATGTTTGTGGTTTTTAACACGCTATCTTGGTTTGTCATAGTTTTATTTTCAAGGAGCATGTGTCTTTTAATTTTATGGCTGCAGTCACTGTCTGCAGTGATTTTGGAGCCTAAGAAAACAAAATCTGTCACTGCTTCCACTTTTTCCCCTTCTATTTGCTAAAACCTTTCTCTGTTCCAAACTCCAACATTTTGATATTTGACCCCACTGTGCGTTGGGCACACAGACTTGCATTTCAGTAGCGAAATAGTCAAGTGTTAGGCAATACCAGTGACTACTATAATAGTTCAGAGAATAGGAAACAAAAGAAAGAGAAAATTACAGAAAATTTTAAGGTAAAAGGAAAGGAAAAAGCAAACATTCATCTGTGTCTGCTAGTGGTCTTTAGATGCATTTTCCTGTGTGACAGTCTTTGAAAGTCTCTTATTTTCACCATTTCCTCAAGGGTCTGCAGGAATTAATACCAGTATAGATCCTCTAGGCTTATCCCAGTTTCAAAGAACTATTTTGTCCACTTTGTTCTTTTCCAGATGACTGAACTTTGCATACATGAGGAAAATGTTATTTTAACCTAATTTCATATATGTATTCTTATTTTTATTTATATATATATATATATTTAGATTTTTCTGTAAGGCGAGGTAATATATGCAAACGTTTTCCAGTGTTAAAGTG